TGTGTGTGTGTGTGTGTGTGTGTGTGTGTGTGTGTGTGTGTGTGTGTGTGTGTGTGTGTGTGTGTGTGTGTGCGTGTGCACACGGGTGTGCCTCCCCTCTCCATGTGTCTCTTTCCGCCCTGCCTTCCCACGCATCTTCCTTTGTCCCTTTCATCAGCGCTGTCCACCAATTAGCTGCCTCTAATGGTTATGTCCCCCCTCCCACTTACTCGGTCATTCTCCTGGATGTGCACTTTCTTCAACAAAAAGACGCCTCTTGTCGAAGGCTCTGTTTGACACATCAGCCGGGCCGAGTGGCGAGCGGGCCTTCCGTAGCCAGTTTGGCGAAGACCACGCTGAAAGCCGGCTTTCGGCCGAGGTAACCCTTCTCCGGCTCTGCTTGGCTTTGGTCCGGGCTTCGGAAGTCGAGGCCACGAGTGACTTATTGACCATGGCTCACGCGCAGCTTGAGGCTCTCCAGCTCCAAATGCGCGACCAGCCCTTCGCCAACCGCCTCCTCTGGCGGTCGGTGGCCCGGTTACGGGCACTCCCCCCAGCAGCCAACGCCACAGCCACGGTCTTGCAGCAGCGTGTTGACCTGGCCGCGAAGCTACTCCAAACCGTGGGACAACGTTACGCTGGTGATCGAGACCCGGCTTCGGCCTGGATGGCCAGCCTCTCCGAGAGCCGCCTGGCATGCGAGCTGTGGCTTGCTTCATCGGCGTCCAGCGAGTCGCGCGTCCTGCGCAAGGTTCTTGGTGCGTGCCTGTCGGCTGGCTGGCTGGCTGGCTGGCTGGCTGGCTGGCTGGCTGGCTGGCTGGCTGGCTGGCTGGCTGGCTGGCTGGCTGGCTGGCTGGGCTCTCTGTCCATTCTCCCTCGCCCCTCTCTCTCTCCCTGCCTTCCCTCTTGGCCTTTCCCTCTCTGCCCGCTCCATCCCACTCTTTGTACCCGGGAGCCGGCTTCCATGGCGGCTGACCGCCCCCCTCCCCCCTCCACTCCCCCTGGCTAACCCGCCCCGTCGTCCGCTCATGCCTTTTGGTGGGAACGCCAAAAAGAAATTGTCCAGCTCCCCGGCCTCGCTGGAGCGCTGAGCACCCTGCAGCGGGACTTGGACCGGGGTTCTGCCACCTCCAGCCCCCTGGACCCCCACTTGGGGGCACTTCTCCTGTATTTCACATTCTGTGCGGCTGCCCAGCGCGGCGACCGGCTGGGGGCCGTCCGCCGGGTGTGTGTCACCGTTGTGGCCATGGCCCGGTCGGCGCTCGGCTGTCTGGCCGCCCCTGGCGTCAGTCGTACGGACGCCGCACACTCGATGGCCGGCCTGCTTGGCACCGTCCTGGCACCGGTTGAGCGGCTGTTGCATTTCTTCCGGCGTACAGCCGGCAGCCGGCCGGCCGGCCAGGCCACCCTCACTGCCGGGCATGATGGCAGCAGTGGCGCCGACGGTGTCCGGGAGGGCAGCGATGTCGATGCCGATCTCAGCCAGGCTCCCCCGGGGCACCTGGTGGCCGCGGTCCGGCGCATGTGCCAGCGCCTGACGGGGCTATGCGCACAGGCCCTGGCCGCTGGCGACTCGGCCGCCCTCGGCGCTACTCCTCGCTGGGCCGGCCTGCCTTTGATGACCCCCCCGCTGCCGGAGAGCCAGGGTGCGGGCTTTTCCGTGCGCTGGCTCGGCCCGGAGGGCGGCTTTGTCATCGGGTGCGTGACGATGCCCCCCCTCCCCTCGGTGGGGATGGGCCGCTCGTCTGCCCACCTATTCAAGCTTCCTGACCCCCCTTTGCTGCCCCTGCTGACGCGCCTCCTCCCTGTCTTGCTCCCCCCCCCCCCCGGGTCTCCTTCTCTTCTCCCCTCCCTCGTCATGCCTTCCCTTCTCGCCGGTCAGCCGGCCGACCTTCACAGCACTCGTGGAGGCGGTTGGCTCGGACGACATGCGTCACACGACCCGCCGGTTGGCAGCCCTGCTGGCCGACCCGGCGGCCACGGCGGCCCTCACGCGCGAAGTCTTCGCCCGGGTGTACAACACGCGCGTTGTCTCGCGTTTCGAAGCCTGCCTCTCGGCATCTTCGTACGTCCAGAGCATGCATGACTGGCCAACCTCTCGCTCTTCATGTGGGCTCTGCCTCGCTCGCCCTCCTTCACACCCTAACCGATGCCATCCATTTCGACACCGTCACCGCTGCTGCCGGTCCCCCCCCCCCTCCCCTCCCCCGGCCCGGGCGAAAACAAACAGAACCACGCCCCTGGTGTGGCATTTGTACTTGCTTTGGGTGCGCGCGGCCGCCATGGTTGAACGTGCCATTGGGGCCCGGTTCCCCTCGGCCCTGGCCGCCACGTCGGTCGGGGCTCAGGCCAGCCGTGAGGCTCGTCTTCGAGCCTCGCGTCTGCAAAGCCTCGACAGGCAGTGGCGTGCCCGAGCCGAGGGGGTTTTCTACAGCGCCCTCCGGCAGTGCGGCCGGTCCAAAAGTGCGTTCCCCCTCCCCTCACCTCTCCCCTTGGCTGTTTTCCCCAAGCTCTTTCTCCCTCGGGCGGGCAATTCCCCCGGGCCTGGGCCTCTCGCCTGCTCCCGCTTTTCCCTCGCTCCCGGGTCTGACTCTCCATCCGCACTGGCGGTGTAGCCATCCTCATGCATGCTTTCGGTGCCGGGCTCTTTGAGAGCCTGGATGACAGTGCCCTGCTGGCGGTGTACTCGCTGCTGAGCGCCGCGGAGCAGGACCGCGATGACCGAGCTCTGCTTGGAGATCGGGTTGTCGACGAGGCCCGGAAGGTGTTCACTCGTGATGGGGGATCCTTCCCCCTGCCCTCGGCAAGTGAGGCCCCATCTCCGGCCGATCGACTCCCAGATGGCGATCCCTTTGGTGGGGATGCCTGGTGGGGCTTCCGCCTGCGGGCAACGTACCAGGAGGTTGGCCGACTCTTTGGCGAGGCAGACGAGTCTGCCGGATGAGGCATGGTCTCTGTGTCTCCTGCCCTGTTGGAGGAATTCCTCTGCGCGCCTGTACACGCCATCTCCAGTCTGTAGTGTGTGTGTGCGCGTGTTAGGCGGGGGTGGATGGCGAAGGCACACATGCATCCCATCACAAGCACACAAACCCAAACACTGGCAAACAGGCACACCGGGAAAGACCCTGGCTGAGGTCCCCTCCCTCCCGCCTGTGCACAAATAGAGTGATAGATATTTCGCCTCGACCACTCGGCTCCGGGACCCTGGTGGGGGGTGCCCTCTCTTTGGCCCACAATCCACATTCCTGCCCCGATGGCATAACTTGTGGGGAGAACACCCTCGAGGGGTAATGCCCAACGTCAATAGCCAGCCTTGGGATCCGCGAGAGGTTGCCAACGGATTGCGGAATCACGAGAACATACTTGTGTTTCGGGTCCAGTGGTGGTTTCTGTGCGCGCTCTTTCCCGAGGATGGGCGGGAACACGGCGGCTGAGTGTGCCTGTGCTGCTCCCCCGCCGTGCGCGCGGACATCGGCGTGAGAGGGGCAGCCCGGTATGACATTTCCCCGATGGCCGTGTGTAGTCGTCCCTCTGCTCTCATGTAGCACACTTCCCGGCGGGCTGGCCCGGTGGGTTGTCCTCTGTCCGTCAGATGTGCGCGCGCGCGCGCAAAGAGCAGGGGGGGGGGGCGGTGCCGGACCGGGAGATGCAGGACCTGTGGAGCGCGTGAGCGTCGATCTGCCCATGGTCCTGGCGTCTCGGTTCGGGGTCATTGACCGCCTGGATCCCCCGCCCAACCGCCACCAGGGCATGGCTTTCTCCCCCCCCCCCCCCCCCCTGGGAGGGGGATATGTGTCTCGAGGGGGGGACGGCCGAACGGCGGCCGGAACCGGCCCGGCGCGCCGGCCGAGCAGTCCGGCGGTGGTGTTAGCCGCGTAACGTCGGCTGGCGCTGGCACTTGGGCGGCAATTGTTTGTGGCCAGGTGCAGTTTCTCGCGGGCGCGGGCGCGAGCGCGGGCGTGGGCGCTCCCCCGCGCGCCAGGACCCCGCCCTACTTCTCTGTATGTGTCTTTCTCCCAGTGCCCGCCCAGGGTCTCTCTCTCCCTCTCTTGCGGGCAGCCCTCCGCTATCGCGCGAGTGTATCGCTGGCACACGCGCACGCGCCGGCGCGGGAGGGATTTGAAACGCATCGGACCTAAGCTCAAGGGCACCGGCTGGGATCTAGCGCCACTCCCTGTCCCCTCCCCCCCCTCCCCCTCCCTCTCTTTCTTCGTCTTCCGTTCTCCCGTCCTCCCCTTCTCCCTTCCTCCGGCCTCCTTTCAAGTTCTCCTTCCTTTTTCCTTGTCCGTCGCCGCGAGGGATCGGCGCTGCTCCGCCTTCATCCTCCGTTCCCCTCCTACTTTCCTCCCCTCCC